ATGTGCTGAATTTTGATAAACTCTAACTATAAACCTTCAACCAGAACTTCGGCTCAAAGATAAAAGCTGTTTGGCTCTTACAGCTCAGTCTGCTCCTTTAATACAACATGTTAATACAACATTTAACTCACCTTCAAGGTGCAGAATGGATTTACTGAGAAAGTTTTAAAACGAGAAATGTCATTTTAGATCAATGTACGGTGGCCCTGTGGTGCCAAACACACACACACCACAATGAAATATGACGTCGGGCACAGCTGCAAAATCTGTCTGCTGAATTTTATGAGGTCAAGTGTAAGAGTGCGCATAATAAAGCCCCCGAGAGTAGGTGTTAGTATTATTTATTTCTGTCATGCACAAACCATTATTTTGTAGAATGTTTTAAAGCGAATTCATTCATGACAACAGAATAAAATCTCATGTACACATTTCACCACAGCTTCAGTGACAAACTACAGCCAACAGGTGGCAGCATCTCCTTTCATGTCATGAACACCTGATAATAATCGCAGCCACTCAACCTCTATTACTCCTCACTTGAAGGCCTGTTTCTGTTTTGCTCATATTTTAAAGCTCAGCGGGAAGAAACAGATGTTCAGCAGCTTTAACAACTGTAGGGATGAAGATGCAGAAAATCAGCCAGCTTACAGAAGCACTGCTGAGACACACACACATCTTTAGTCTTATTAAGTCTGACCACATCCTGTTCACAGAATTACACACAGACAAAGTGGTGACCAGCAGAAAAGAAAGAAAGTACAGCAGCGATCTGATGATCTGATTGTGAGGGATGTGCAGTTGTTCGTTTTTACGTGGCTGTTTCAGACAAACAGGAACATCCACAGCAAAGAACATTAGTGAAATGAACATTTTGACCAGTTGTGTTTGTGTTGAGTCATTTATTTACAGGCTGTGACCAGAGAAGTCATCCTCTGACCCGTTTCATTTTCCTAGAAGTGAAAGTCACAGTCCATCAGTCCCCACAGTATCACAAATGTCTATCTACAGGTCACTGTGAGACAAGTCACCACTACTGAGCAAGTCAACAGTTTGTATCGTCAGACAAACATCATTCCCATCCTCTCTGTGGGTTCAGAAAACATAATCTTGGTAAAAATATGAGGAAACATGCAGAACTCTGACTTTCAGTATGAGATAAGCTTCAGCTGAAAACATGACTTATCTTTATTGGCATTCGTGATAAAGTCTTCGTGAGCTGTACTCGTGGCTTCTGACTGATTTAACCAAAGTGACTGACGTCAGCTGTTTTTTTATTTATTTTGGAAGCAAAGTGCACTCATGAGTAACAGACGCTGCAGATTCCCTAATCCCAGTCTGACTTTATGATGACAGAGAAAGAAAAGCAGCTCCTGTTAAAAAGAAAACATTAAAACAGACCTAATGGGTCCTGTTTTGGTAGTTATTTTTGAAGTGTTCCCAAGACATAAAAAGTACATGTACAGACTCGGCAGTCAAATCATGTCAAGTTTTTTTTAAACCTGCTGACTTTGCCCAAAATAAGGTTTTAAATAGCTTTGCGTGCCCTGGAAGTTAAACTGTCTTTAAGGTCAATGTCAGCTAACCAGACATGTGACCAAACAGTCGAGTCAGTAAAGGTTGATAGCTTGCAGCTGGAGGGATATACTGTGTCGTGTTTGTGAGCACAGTGTACTTCTGAGCAGGAGTGGAAATAACCCGAGTGCATCTGAAATGAGCCGCAGCCATTCCTGCTACATACCAAAAACAGTACCAGGGGGAATTTAGGAACATTTTAGTCACAGTTAAAAGAAACACTTCAAACATTGTCTGTTTCTTGACTGTGCCGATTTATTTGTTTGGCATATAAAGATCTAAACGTCTTTCAACGCTGGACTCAACTAAGAAAGTTCATTTCTACAGAGAAGCATTTACGAAAAAACACCCATAATTATAATTACTTGAGTTTAGAAGAAGGAAGTGCACAAGTGTAAACAGGCTGAAGTTAATGACATAGTTCCCCTATTTTTGCTTTAATCAGAGAAAAAGTCCCTAGAGGGAAAAAACATCAAACAAACCATCATTGTGTTAGTTGTGATGTGAGGCTCTCACTTTATTTCTATGATGAGTTCAGATCAAAAGTCCAGCCAACTGCACAACACTTACAGTTAATTTAAATGAACAGAAGACAAAAGAGCATGAATAGAATACAAATATGTCACAAAAAACAAAGTTCCAATGTAAAAATGGTACTGAGAAATGAACATGTGTACATGCATACATATGAACACGTATTTTCTATGTATTATTTACTAATTTGAGCCAACAGATCCACTTGGCTTGGACACAAAATATACAAACAACAGCTAAACATGGAGAGAAGCCACATTTCTCTCCATGGGTTTCATACCTCGTTCCTCCTGCCGACTCCTGATATGACCGCTCATCCTGCTCGGTTTTAATTTTGAACGCCCGTCCATCTTCTTCCACCTTCCTTTTACACATTGCACTGTCCCTTTTGAGCTTCAAATATCGATTTATTTCTTTTTTTTGACAGTGGATATTTCCAGTGAACTTTGCTTATCACTCTGTCAGAGTCAGACTGGATATCAGTAAGAATCCACAACATTTGAACTGACAAACTAAAGAAGATCAGTGGGGACTAACAAAACAGAAAACAAAGAGTGAAATATTAACACACTGAGTACATCAGATAAATAAAGACTTAAATTCTGAAAAGTTCTGAGAAGAGATCGATAAAAACCAGAAACCTCTGGACTGTTTTCAGAGCCGCTGCTGCTTTTAGATCTCAGAGGAAGTCCCTCTCTGACCTCTGCCACAGAGCGCTCTGCAGCCTCACCACAGACCTCAAACGACAAACAGCAAACAAATTGTATTTAAAACTAACCTGAACTTCACGACTGAGCAGTTTTCTGATGAGTTTCAATGCCTGAAGGCAGCACAACAGGCGAGGGCGCCGATCAGGAGAAAGGGTGAGATCCTGAGGCATCAGGACAGGAAACGAGCCGAACTGTCAGGGGCTGAAAGCACCAACTGACTCAGATTGTGTTAAAAAGTCTTCAGAATTAAAATCCATCCTATTCACCAGATTAATGTTCGAGTGAACTCCTGAAAATGAAAGTCAATGGAAACATCAACCTTGCAACTTGTGCAGAGGAACCAATTTAACTGGACATGACGGGAAGTCTAAAGACAGCGACGCCCGAGATGGAGATCTGAACGTGAGATCAGCAGAGTTTAAATCACTGATAAGGTTTCTGATATTTACAGATCCAACTCAGAACTTTCCACAACTCACATAATAACACAATAAAACCATTGTGATAATGGTTTGTATGTTTTTTAAATAAATATTATGGTTATACTATAATCACATATTACATTACCTGACTTGTGTTTGGTGAATTATTTTGATCTAACGGAGCCAATGGCCAGAAAGAAGGAAGTCGCTGATTGGCTGCAGTTGCCACAAATAGCAGCAAGTAAAATAAAGTGTTTAAAGGTGCAAAATAAAAGCTTAAAGACCTTAATAAAGTGCTTAATTAGCTGTGAGACCTGCGAACCGTGCTACTGTAGCCCCATTTTAATGCACTGTCTGAACTGATTTACTCTACGTCTGTCTCCTCCACCTCTCTACCTGCTAAAAGCTCCACTACGCTCGCCTGCTGTTCTCTACCTGCCGCCTGTTCTCACAGTAAGATCAAGCTCTGCAGAAAACCGCACAGAATAAAGTTAGAGCTTAAAAGAAAAAAAGGGAAAAGAAATAGAAACAGTCATGAAGCTTGTTGCAGCCACAGCATTGACCTAATGTTACTTTTAATGATTGATGGGAGAACATGACTTGAGATCAGAGGAGCGGTGCATCGAAGCATGTTGCTGTGAGGGGACCCTTGTTTGTGCTGTCTGCTTGCTAACAGGGTCAGAAAATAATATTTTACACATCGCCTGATGCATTTCAGATCAGCTCTTTTTCAGGTGGATGTTTATAATGTTCATGTTCCCTGTGTGTTGATGATTTCTTTTTTCTGTGGATACATACAGCAGCACTAAGAATAACAAAAAGACTTAAAACAACAGCAACAATACCTATAGCTAAAAGAAATGTCTTCTTTTCGTGTTCCTTGCTTCCTGCAGAGAAAAAAACAACAACACAGGTGTGAGGACTCAGGTATGCTGACAGTATTTCTGCTTTTATCCTTTGAAATCCTGCAAACAGTAATAAACGCTGAGCAGCTTCACTGCGTCGTGTTTCAGAGACTGACACTTTTATTTTCTCTCTCTAAAACTGCTGCATGTATACCAAGTAAAGCACCAATCAAATAAAAGCATAAAAACAAGAAACAGAACTAAATATAAACTTAAATATACAATTCAAAACACATTTTCCCCATGGAAAGAAGAAAAGCAGGGGTGCACCCAAAGATGAGGGTGCAGGGTGACACTAGACCCCAGAAATATGAAACTTCAGTTCATTATTTTACCTTGTTAGTTATAATTGTACTGATACTGATATATTGCTCGATTAATATAGAAAAAACCACCCAGAAGTATAACCCAATAAAATATCCATCTTATACATTAAAAGGAAGCACATATTAATGCTGCAACAACTATGATCCAATCATATCACGGACATTTTTCTGCATAATAAAAGATTCTGCTATAGGTACTAGAACGAGTACACAACTTTGTAAATCAGTTATTCAACACTACACTCAGTTTAAACTCACACAGACTCTTTCCATGTCATCTGTGTCTCGGCTGCACATCAGCCTCAAAATCGGAGTCTTTTCAACCAGCTGCACCATCTTTGTTTCTTGCTTCACTGAACCACCACATTCAAAACTCTGAACTATGAGACAGTCCAGGTTAGTCCGTGGACTTCAAACATGTACAACACACTCAGGTGGTATAATAATGTCACACAGAGCATGGAAAAAAAGAGCAATAGCAGATGTCTGAATAAAAATAAAACAGCCAATAAACAACTGTGTCAGATCAGATATGTCACCGCCTGTCACTGCAGGATGCATCATTATATCTCAGACCACAGTAGAAACAGAAAAATAAGATCACTGCAGTTTGCAGTGAAGATTTCATAAACATCAAAGTCTGCGCTAAATTCAGAGCCCATCCAAAGACGATATTTTTTAAATCCCTTCCAGTGACGTAGGTTGGGGATTTTTCTCCTCTTTCTTTTATCAGATGGTGGAAAATAACGTGCATGGTCTTCTGTTTTTACCATGAATGAACAGATAATACTTCCTTCCGAAAAGCCAGCATCACAGTTCACAGACACAAAAAGCTCTTTTGTGCTTAGCCGTGCAGTGAGGGCTGCACTTTGCCTCCACATGTCCCTACAAGTCAGAAGAAGAATAAGTAGTAAAGTGAACCTCTCAACTCACCAGAGTCTATGACTGTGAGGTCGATGGACTGCCTGGACTCACTCTGAACTCTCTGACCGCTGCTGAGATTACTGGTTATAATCCGACACTCATATGTTCCTGTATCGTTGACGTTGACGTTCTTCAGAATCACAGAAACGTTTCCGTTTTTCATAGACGGGTCTGCCAGCTCCACTCGGCCTTTAAAACGCTCATGCTGGTAGCTTTCATATGAGCGCCGGTTTCGGTAGAAGAAGACGTATCCGTCTGACTTAATCTCAGGTATGCTCCACTCTAACAGGGTGATATTTACACCACTGGGATCCTGACAGTGAAGAGTGACAGCTTGTCCACACCTCACTGTTATATCTGTGTAAAAAGACAAAAGAAAAAAGCAAACATTGATAACGTGTCATACTGCATCTCTTTAAGATATATTGTGTAGAAGAACTCATGTGAGTCCCTCTAAAGTAAAGTTGTTTTCTTTCCAGTACATGAGCATATTCAGAGACTTCTGACAGGAACAGGACAGGAAGCACTAAAGAAGTCCAAAAAAAACCCATCAGTGGACTCAAGTAATGGATTCCTGCAGCTCGACATGCATCCAAAACAAGCCCAAGGACCTTAGAGAAGATGTGCATCTCTTGAAGATGCACTTTCACCACCATCTCTGCTGTATTTTAAAGTGACATGAAAAGTCACAAATGTCCTTGATAGAAGTAGGTTAGAGTCTTCTGCTTGCATTCAGGATTTCATGCAGGATTTGTGGGGATTGGTAGCTTTTCTGTCTCGGTTTATGCTTTATTTACAAGAAACAAAGAACAAAAATGCACTGTTGAGACAAATCACATACAGATGTTAGGAGAGTCAGAATACAAGCTCCTATTCAAGTCTGTAATGATCCTAGTTTTGTGTTGTTTGTTGGAAAAAGGGTCCTCCATAAATGTGAATGTGTCACCTGCTTGTGTGAATAACTTTTTATTCCAGGAGATCCACAACAAAGGAGAATAAAAAAAAAAATCAAGCTCAAAGTGACCTCATCCACCTCTGTGATTATAACCTACTCTGTGCACACAACTTTAGAGGAGAGACACAAACACCTGACTCAGGTTACAACACTCAATGTTTGTTTGTGTCTGGCTGGCTGGCTTACTTAAAATCACCTCAAGGGATTAACAGGTTCCCTGCTGAACAGAAACACCTTGAGTAACAAGCTCTTCTCTAAGAACACCAGACTCAAATCATATGGTACAAAGTACTGCTCAGACTTTGTGGCTCTCTGTTTTTTAGAATTTGCACATTTTCTTCCCAGCGCCGTTCCCAAGAATCACTATCAATATGTTGACTGTTACTACAACAAAGAACGCACAATGACGCAGCTGTGATGCCCTTGAAGTCTCAGGAAATGTTTTCCCAGAAATTCCCATTGTACCATTTGTATAACCTTAAAGATTTGTAAATAAAAACCAAATAGAATAGAATAGAAAAGCCCTCTCCTGTCATTGTACATGTACAATGAAATTGTGGGTGTGCCACACAAACTGGGCAAGTATAAACTCTAAAAAGTAAGAGAGCAGGAACAAACATGATGAACATGTACAAAGCAGGAGAAAAAGCAGGGATTAAAGAGCAGGTTGCAAAGTGTTTTGTGTGGCACACTATGTGATGATCAATGGCCATGAGTACAATTCACACAGAGTTGGGGAATGGCTGCAATCACAGCATTGTAAGATGGTGACAGATGTACCCTTAGGCCCCCTCCTCCATTCAGAGATGGTCTTTCCCTTTTCACGTAAATGGCCTCCTTGACTCTGCCCTCAAACCAGCGTTCCTCCCTGTCCAGGATGTGTACATCCTCATCATTGAAAGAGTGTCCACTGGCCTGTAGGTGTAAATAGACTGCAGAGTCCTGGCCATCTTACAATGCTGTGATTGAAGCCATTCCCCAACTCTATGTGAATGGTACTCAAGGCCACTGATCAATGGTCATGTGAATTTGCATAATTAACTTTAAGGAACTGACCTCCCAGCCCATTGTTCCTTCATGGTTTCAGTCATTATGCAAATGTACTGTTTATAAGATCAGGGAAACCTTCAGCTGAGACTGAAGAAGTCACTTGGATGAGTGACGAAACGTTTCTCCCACAAAACTCTACGTCCAGATGAACAGAATCAACTTTTGGAGATTTCAAAGGCAACATCAAATTGCACTGATATGAACAACATCTATAAATCTATATGTCTGGAAGCTACATTGCTAAATACAATAACATGCGATTGTTTTGTAACACATTAGGTCATTTTCTGGTTTCATGCAGAAAGATAAATATGCTAACGATATGACAACTTAAAACTACTGGTATAATGATTGCTGTGTTGTTCTACTTGCAACAAATATGAACGTTGGGTCTGTGTTTCCACAAGCCTCGCTAATTCTAGAGACGTATTCATCATGAAGAAAACAAGACAGTCGATCGATCGATCACTTGCGCAAGGGAGGCCTGTGTCCACCACGAAAATGACCTCGGCGACGACCTCCCTTGCTGCCTTTTTATTGAGAGACAGTTGACACAAAAAACATCAGAACAAAGCCACGCCCACATGGTTCTAAGACAAGGCACTGTATATGTGTGAACTTCTGTAAGAATGTGTGTGTGTGTGAGTGGGTTTGTGGTGTTGTTTTTGGTTTGTTGTGGTGTGTGTGTCCTCCTGCTGACCAAAGGGTCGTAAATTATGGAAAAAGCTGTGAGATCTCCTTATTATTCACAGATACATTAGCTATATATGAACTGTCTTCCTCTTGTCACCCCTGCTAGGAGCAGACGCTAACTGAGCGCCGCAAGAGAGTCCATGCTCACAGGTGCTGCTGATAAGGAGCCAATCAGACACCCGATTGTCAGCACGTGGAGTACCACAATCTTAAAACTAGATTCAAAAGAAGAATAGTCTGTTTGGCGCTGCGACAGAAGATTTGGCAAGTTTTTGAATGGGTGTAAACCAGATACTTAACTCTGCTGCTGTGGGTTAGGGCGTGTTATTTATTAGCTTTGTAAATGCAATGTTTACTGTTTCCTGTCTTTTTCTTCCCTTTCAGTTCCAGTTAGATAGAGGCGGGGGAACTCCAGGCCTCAAAGGTGGCCTTGAGGTTTTAGATGTGTCCTTGATCCAGCACAGCTGAATTAGCTCCTCAACATGTCTTGACGTTCTCCAGAGGCCTGGTAATGAACTAATCATTTGATTCAGGTGTATTGATCCAGGGTGAGATCTAAAACCTGCAGGACACCGGCCCTTAAGGCTTGGAGTTCCCCACCGCTGCAGTAAGACATCAATAACCGATGTTTTAGATGTGCAAAAGATCAAATATGGACAATACATAAGTATTGGTGGTGCTGAGGTGGGTGGTATGTGATGGAAGCATGCAGTCCAAATTAATCTCTGCTTAGAGCCACTCAACACCTCGTGCTGGTGTTCCAGGTAAACTGGTTCTTATGTTAACTGGTTAGATTTGTTTACTTATTCGACTCTCAGTGTTCCAGATGTTGGATCCGCAGATTTATCATTTTCACTGAGTGTTCATCTGTCTGTCAGTGTGTTATGTGGTTTGACAAGATTAAAGATCTCTGCAAAAAAAACAAACAATCTCCAGCTCCTAGAAATGTGCATCAATATTATCTCCCGACAACAATCAAATTATTTTAATTAAAAAATAATAATAAACTTTTGACGAGCCAGTGTTTTCCTCACGACACCATCGATCAGCTCAATAGACCTTTGAGTTTACCTGCATATATCCTGTTGACCTGTCAGCTGTTTAACATCTGCTGA